AACATACAAATACCTACTATTAAGAAAAGGTGTAGATGCAGAGACTGCATCACAGGAATAATGGATAGGAGGTATTATTATAGTTAATTCTAAAGACAGGAGTTCCATAAATAGTCCCAGGGATTTAAGAAAGGAAGAAAGTTCCACTTTATTCGGCTCTACACAGCCTCAAAGACAGGCAGGTGAGGTGTCACAGTCTTGTTACAAATCTGCTCCAAGCAATTACCAGAGCTTTGCTGACTACATAATGAAAACAAATCTTCACTTATAGCAGTGATTTTTAAGATACTTTGATTTTTTAAAAGTATGTCCTCTGCACCCTTGTAAAAGGCTTACAATTGGCACCTATATGAATGGCTTAGAATTATCCCTCTGGAATAAGCTAAGTTGTAAATTAACTTTAATGAAAATGCAGTACAGTATCTATCTTTCCCAGTCCACTGGCTTATACTTCATCTTTAAGCTCTAAGGCTAATGTGAACTTGGATGGAAATGCTGTCTTCTTCCTGTTTCTCTAAACTCACAATTTCTACCTTTTGGTCTCTCTGCCCCTTCATTTCTTGCTACTGAAATCCTAACTCCAATTCTAGACCCAGTTAAACATATTCCTCTTAAATCACAACAAAAAATCCTGATCCTCTTTCTTGAAGAGATCATCTCATTCTTTTGCACATTTTTCTTCATAACCTGGTATAGAGAGATATGTTGAATTAGATCAAACAATATTTGAAGCAAATGATATGTACAAATAATATAAATCCTTCTTGTTAATACCTACACATTCCCTTCCCTGTAGTTTTCTCTAACTTTTTAAAATATCACTCTATAAGTTTTCCTAGTCCTTTGTTCCTGTGAGTGCAGTGAGAGGTGAGAATCTTGTTTGCCTTGGCAACATCCAGATTAAACCATCTCTAAGAATTAAATCATCAGAAAGTTACAAAAGCACTCAAGCTGATATTGTGGGCAATTGGCTACTGTTTAATTTGCAATTACATGCACAATTTAGAAACCACTTAAAGATAATCCAGCCTCAGGAGGATTGCTAACATTATCAGTCCCTATAAAAAACAATTCAAGGGAGAAAAAAAAAGGTCATAGGGAATAAGTTGATACAAAATAAAGAATCTTAAATTTATGGCCCTAACCTCCCAAAAAGAAAACAGTAGACTCTGCCATAATTGGGGAATAGATTGATAAAATGTTTATTCCTCAATATTAGCTTCCTTATGTCTAGAATTTGCAATTAAAACCAAAATGTAGTCAGCTTTGGGAACCATTAAGTGCAATGCGATTTGCCACAGGTCAACCAAAGAAACAAATAAAAAGACGGAAACAACAACAACAACAAATGCACCACTTTTTCTACTCAGCTGAGTTATTCACGATTAGGCTTATTATAAGCAACAGCCTCTCAACAAAAGCTTAATAATAGGCGTGAGCTATGAAATGAGGTATGAAGATATAGAATGTGAAGGTGGTGAACACAGCAGCTTATTATTAGAAAGAGATATACAGAGAGTGTAAGAAAAATTGCAGAAAAAGTTTTCAAACTGTGAGAAGAGGATATTGTAATTCACTGAACTTTTTAGCCGAAGGGAAGATACTATCTAATGTCCAGGAAAATGTCTACTGACTTTCTGATCTAGAATGATCACTAACTTACAATAAATATTCAAAACTATGATTTTTTTTTAAACAAAGAAATCCTGATTAAGGCTGAAACTCGAAGCACAGAATCCTAAGTCCCCATAACAGCATCAGAAAACCAGAAACCCAAAAGTGTAATCAAGAAAGCTTTATTTTCCAAAATAATAAATTTTTAAAGAATACAAAGGATACACTTTAAAGTGACACCATCTGGAACACCTTCTGTTTAGAGCTTTTTAGAGCAAAAATCCTCTGTATGTGGAAAATATTACTGCAATATTTTTCAGTCTTAAAACACTCATGCTCTGCATAGAGAGAAAATTATCATGAGGATTCAAATATTTATTTAAATAGAAACTATATACAGTGGGTGATTATCAATTTATGAACTTTGCCAGTTGAGGAAATTCATTCTTCTTGACTTTAATATATATTAATTCCTTTAGTACTTCAATTGAAAGTAGACAAGTACAGAAAAAATGTGAAATTAATTTAATAAATTTATGTGGGATCTGAAATTTTTCTTTTGTATCTGAAATTCTTGTGAAACTGATACTTATTTTCAAAAGGGTTAAAATTTATAGTTGGTTGATTTCTCTTTTTCAATTACCCACACTATCTCTGTATGTCATCATGAATAATCTGAAGGTGTTTTATTTCCAAAAGCCACAGTTTTATCTGTCATTGACAAGTCTACCATAATCTATTTTAGCTTACAGTCATTATTTCCCAAGGGCCTAGCAGAGATGAAAGACTGGTGCAATGTAATTCTCTTATTTTGGTACGATACTGGAATAGCTCTTTCAGGATCACAGCTATAATTAACTAGCTGTGTTTGTGAACCTGGAGAGAAGTACATATTCCCTACCTTGGCAAATGATTCTATATTCACAGAGCAACCCACGCCACCAAGAATTCTGGAGTCATCTTTATCTCCTATTCACAAAGAAACCAAAAACTATCAAACTGACATCTCCCCATATCCCAATACCAGATTCAGAAGGCTACTAATGTTCAACAGCATCCATCAATTACTCTTTTCATGCTGTTACAGTGGAAAAGACTGTCTTTTCTTGTCCTTTCTTACACTTTCAAGATCTCCTATTTCATGTCTCTCTAAACATGCAAAGGTCCAAGCTACAATAAAGTAAATTATACATGCATTCTCTTCCTGGGTCTAACATCTTACCTTACTATTAATCCTATTAACCTGCAGACATTCTCCAAACACTGTTCTCACGAGCTGTTCCAACTTTTAGTCAGTTCTCAACCTTAATCTGATAAGTATCAGTGTGATTACTTTCACTTTCCTCGAAGTGACCAGATGGACTCCATCATGGTTTAGAGAACCATGGCCCTGGGAGCAGATAGCTTTTACACACACACAACACAGTGTGTAGGATATACCTTCTAGGGTTTTGTTAGCTATTCCACGATGTTCACACAATGATAAAATTGCCTAATAATGCATTTCTTCAAACATATCCCTGCTGCTATGCAGCACACAGCTGTACACTTCCTGGGCTCTGTGACACTACTCTGCTGGTTTCTTGCCTCAGTCACTGGCTTAAGAAGCAGCTTCTCATCCCTGCCAACTCCTTCCACCCTCAAGATGATGTGCATTCATCAAGTCTCCAACAAATTTCTTCCTCTCTTCTCATAATATAGTCTCTAAATGATTTGACATTCTTATTTCAATGTACCAGTAATTTCAGAATCTATACCTCCTCCACCTCAGCAACTTTTTGCAAATACTGATTCTTAAACATACTTTTTTTTTTTACCCAAATGATAAGAAAGGGAAGGGCAAAAGCCCAATTTATTCAAGAAACACTATCTTTGATTGTTCTGATATGTCCCCCGCTGCCCATTCCTAGGTTCTTTTTCTAGATCCTCCTCTCTTCCTGGACTTTAAATATTGGAGGCCTTTGGCTACATTCTTAATGCCTTCCTGACTATACTGATAATCTTCATTGAACCCATCCAGTTTTTTGGCTAAACAATAGCATTTACTGATGAGAGCCACACTTCTGTTTCCAGGTGTAGTCAATCTGCCCGTTCAAATGCCTACTCATTGCTTCTATCAAACAGACATTTCCAAAACACAGTACTGTTCCCAAAGACAAATACTTGATTTACTGTACCAAATTTTATGATCCTACCACTACTCTTCGCATACTCATTATCTGAAAACAAAGCAAAACAAACAAAGCAGCATTGTCCTTCACAAAATTACTCAGGCCCAAAACTCTGGGTTCGTATTTCATCTTACACTAATGTAACGCACCAATGGATGCTGACAACTTTTCTTTTACAGTATACTAAACCACTCCTCACCACTATTTCTCAGGTCACCCAACTGTTCACTGGCTTCTGTGAAAGTGTTATAACTAGACACCCAGGTTGACTCTTGTCTTAAAGACTTATTCATCTGGATTCAGAGTAATCTTTTAAAAACGTTAATGAGATCATCAAACTTGCTAGCTCTCAACCTGAGCAGCTTCCTATTAAATTTAGAATAAAATTCATGACATCCTGACCTCTAAGCCTAGATCTATATGATCTAGTCTGGGATGCTCCTGAGATATTTCCTCCCATCCTCTCATTCATAAAATCTCCCCAGACACAGCAAATTCTCTGCAGACCTTGCACATGCGAAGGACGAAACACTCTTGGGATTTTCAGCTAACCTTGACCCTATGCCTTGACCACAGTATCTAGATATCTGAAGAGTTTGCTTTTTCCCTCTATGCAGATATTTTACTAAAGATTCCTTCTTTTATCATCCTAGATAAAACAGAATACTGTCCACACACTCTATTACACTTATTTTTCTTTGTAGGATTTAAAACTGATAAACAAATTATAACATAATTATTTTTTTCCTCTTCTTCTTCTAGCTTCATGAGAGCAGGGAAATTTTATTTTATTCACTGTATCCCCAAAACTATGAAAGACCAAAAGTACAGTAAACAGTTAATAGTTACTGAAGAACTGAATAAATTAAGTTCTAGACATATACACAGATGAATTCAAGGTATTATTTTATGTATCATACCTACACTGAAAATAAATTTAGAATCATCAAACTATTTTGCAAATATTTAAATATGAATGTCTCAAAGGAAACTAGGTCTACAGAAAATAACAAAAAATTGACCAGTGTTTATGATAAAGTATAAAATATGTAGACTTCAATATAATCTTTCTACAAAGAAAGTTTATAATTATATAACTCAGAAAAATCTTCCAAAAGTGTAACATGATGATTGCTTTTCCAAGAAGACAACCAAACTACTATATCTCCCTCTCTACACTTAAGATAAAAGATTAAAAAGCAAAAAGGCACTTACCTCCCTTTTTCTACCAGGAATAAGACATCCAATTTTTCCCCATTTTGAACCATTGTGCTTGTTGCTGGAGGGATAAGACAATAACCATAGATTTTAAATGTTACACAAAATAACCAGAAAGACACCACTACTACTACTACTTAGCCATAAGGTGAGGCATAAACTATTATGATTTGATGTAAAAGCTACCATTATTGTTCACAATATTGAATTATATCGCAAAGGAGATGAAAAACACATCTTACTTAGCTCTTGCAGTCGTCTTAAGTGCATTCTATCTTCTTGAGATTCTTGCATTTGAAGGCAAAAACGCAAACTAGATTTATCCAGAGCAAACCAGCCTTTTCTCCATTGATCCAGGGCATGGCAGTCTTTGTAGAACAGTTGACCAATCAAATCATAATCAGCTTCTGTTAGGTTTTCAGCAACAAAGGGAACAAAATGCTGTTAAAACAAATACAGAAAAATAATAAAGAGAGTGAAAATAGTAAACTCCTTCCCTATCTATAGATGTGAGGGAAGTTAAAGAATCATCTTACTTTTTCTATTTTAAAGATTCATAAGTAATCTAAAACTCAAACAATTTTATTTAAACTTCTGTCTTAAGAGTGAACAGCTAAAATAAATTTTCAAATAGTATCTTAAACTACTCTTTCTTGCCATATATAGACTTGAAAGAGGGAGACATTTTCTTTGTTAATTTGTTAATTTTTCAAAATGCCAACCTCCCATGCTTTTGTCCATTCATATCTTTTACTGAATCTGTTCCTTTTCCCTTTGTGTACATTATGCATAAAATATCTACCTATAAAAAGACATACAAAGAAATGACTTTATAATATTAAAAATATCTTCATCATCAAAAACATGGTCACAGATTTATGAGAATAATTTGTCTGCTTCAGGTACAGGGAACATGGCTTTTAACCTCTTTTGACTGTAGCCTTCAACAATCTATTGAAATATGGACCGTATTTCCTGAATCTTATTTAAAATTTCCTGGACTCCTGAAGCTCAACTACAGACCCCAAGTTAAGAATATTTTCTTGACTTATAAATAAATATAACATTAATAATACCTTGGCTATAGTCTCTGTCCATTTTCTTTGAGCTTGAGATGTTTCAGCTCCAAATAAAAACACACGCTCTGAGGATAAGTAGATCTCAAAGATAAAAACAGGCCTACAAGCATTCACAAATAAAAAGAGACCATAAGTTATGCTTGGCTGTTATGAGAACAACACAAATGTCAAGGTTTTAATTAAATCCCTTTAAAAATGCAAAGTCAACCTATTTATATTATTGCTTTGTATCTCATTTAAATGAGCTAAATGGAACACACTGAATCAGACAAAAGGAACACTTTTCTGATTAATCACTCTGCAGTTTGTCTTTGTTGATGTCCCGATGCTCATCAGTTGACTGGCTTTACATGGGCTCTCCTTGGAGCCAACTTCATCTCGGACAATTCCTTGCATTACTCTAAACATTCAAAAAACTGACCAACCTGTGTTTTGGGTTACTTTTCAGTACCAGGGATCAAACTGGGGAACTTATGCCTGTGAGGCAGGCTGCAGAACCACTGAGTTAAATCCCCAGCCCTAAAATTATACCTCAACTCTGGTTGTTTTTAGTATTTCTTTTTTGTTTTTCTACCGGGGATCAATCTCGGGCCTTTGTGCTTGCATGGCAGGCAGTGGAACCACTGAGCCAAAACCCTGGCCTCTAACCAATCTGCTTTAAACCCTGTTCTTACATCACAAATCTTCTATCATCATTTCATCTGATGACACAATTTCACCTTACTATAGAAAAGACCAAAGTAACATCTCACATCTTGAATCCTTTCTTAATTTCCTCATCCGCAGCTCCAACTCTTCCTGTTACATACTATGTGTCCTACTACTACCTAAAAATGAGAAATACCATATCCCAAACCTATTATATTGCTTGTCATGTCCCAATTTAAAGGCACTGCCACCTACTTCATCAACAAGCCCAACCTTGAAGTTTAACTAATTCCCTGAACCTCAGCTCTTCACTCAATACAGTTATTTAATTTTGTAAATTCATCCATTGGTTCTCTCAGTTCCCTCTCCTCCTTTGAATTATCTCTTCTTCTAAATTTTTAGCAGTTATGATCTTTCTTCCTCCAATCTCTTTTTTTACCACTTGTGCTAGTTCTCTTCCTAAAATACAAATCTTCATAAGTGCTCAGCGCCTATGTTACAATATGGAACTCAAATTGTATACTACATGAAGGCAAATTCAGAATTGGTCTATGAAATTATTTTTTACCCTCATATATTAGACATGCAAATATATTTGTATCAATAATATTTTATCAGACTGTTTGATTTTCAATGTGTTTGGATGTTGATATACAGCAATATTAACTTTTTAAAGCTATAGCTTATTAAGTAGACAGCTTAATTCATAGAAGGCATTTGTTTTCACATCCAACGGTAAAACAAATTAAATTGATTATTCATTTAGAATACAAGCACAATTAAGATTAAAAGGAAAGCAAATAAGCTGCTAATTAGTTTTTTGAATTTCAAAATCAACTCAGACTTACTACAAAGCAAATCATCTCAACTAGTATATTGGTCATTATTGTTCATTATTACCTAATGTAATACTGGTATATACTGTTCATATATTAGTATTACAACATAATATAATTATTTAATAATGACAATATAGTTCACATCGTTGTATGTAACTAGTATCTCTAAAAAAAATCTCTTCTCTCACAAAAATTTATTAAAATACCGTGCTCCTACAAAAATTTTGGTTTAGTTGAGGGTATAGCTTAGTGGCAGAGTCTGTGCTTAACATTTGCAAAGCCTTGGGTTCAATTCCCAGCACAGGAACACAAAAGAACAAAAACTTTTGGTTTAGATTTTTCTTCAGTTTTTATTTTTTATTAGTACACATTTACAGTACACAATGATTATGTACTCATGGGGAGTTGGTACATTCACATAACCCATCTCAATTCTTTTCTTCATCCCCTTCCACTCCCTTCCCTCTAGCTCCCTCCTTTTCTAGGTTCCTTTCCCTCTTATGAAAGATCTATCTTCCTATTTCCAATTATCTTTTAATTTGCTCTATTTATACTTGGGCTTCTCACATAGAGAAATGTAATTTTTAAGCTTGTGTGTCTGATTTATTTCAATTAATACTATGTCTCAAGGTGTATACATCTTCCTACAAATCTCTGAACTGTGCTGCTATAAACATGAGTATGCATATATTACTGTATGTAATATGATGTCATTAACTCTTTTGTCAAGATACCTAGGAGGGGAATATAGGGATCAAATAGAATTTCTACTTTTAGCTTTTTTGAGGAATTGCCATATGGATTTCCGTAATAGTTATACTTGTTTATATTTCCACCAACATCGTACAGGGTTCCTTTTTCCCTGCAGGCTCATCAGCATTTGCTATTTGCTTTCTTGATGACGACCACTCTTTCTGGAGTAAGATGGAATCTCAATATTGCTTTAATTTGCATTTCTCTAATGGCCAGAGATAGTAAACATTCTTTCACGTATTTATCCGTACTTTGCTGGGAAATGTCTACCCATTTCAGTGTCCATTTAGATTTTAAAATTTATAGTTTTTAAATTTAATTAGATGGCAAAATGTAGGAAACTTCTCATGTCAAAGATCGTACATGCTGTTTCTAAAAATCTTCACAGAAATTTATTTAAGCTATTATGCATCATAAACATATTACATAAATAAAATTTAATCTTTTAATTGGAACTTCTTCAGATTATCAAAATGCTAGGGTAGATCTTTAAGAAATTTAGCATTGAATATGCTATTGAATATATTTTTTTTAATCTAATCTGAGCAGGTCATCACTAAATATTTTTTCTCATCATAACACTCATTAACCAAGTACATAAAATTTTGCCATTAGTGCACTACTTAAAATAATGCCTAAATCATAAAAGTCAAAGTGCTACAGTAAGTACTAGAACATAATAAATTTACTTAGGACAACACGCAGACACACTGTCATTCATGTTATTTAGTATACTTTAAGTAACCATCTTTTAGGGACTTGCCTAAATATTTAATGAGCAGGTATCAAGATGCCATTAAATCCTTTTACAGGGAAAAACTGAAGATCTGAAATGTTAACAAAATCTTCTTTACCTGGTATGGAAATTGTCTGCAAATACTTTTTGACTCTTAGCTGTCTAGACCTACCCAGTATTTAAATAGAAGTCTTCTTTGTGTATAGCCAGGCAGATAACTTCACTGATGTTAATGGTGCCATTAGGTGTAGTAGACTTATCATTTTCATAGTAACTCAAGAAGCCTCCTTCCAAAATACACCACTTTTTATTTGTCTCTATAAATTAAAATAAAACAAAAATCTTTAAAACATTGAAACACAATCTAAATATCCTACAGGGTTTTAAATCTTGACTAGATAAAAATAAATATATTTCCAATTTTTCTTAAACAGCATGACAGTTTTGCATAGAATATATAGTCACAGTTTTTATTCTCAAAAATATTATAATCTAATAGCAAGGAATGTATCAGACAGAAATGACTACTGATGAACACAGAAGTAGGCCGATCCATAAAACAGTTATTGCAAAATAATTCTGATGTCTGTAGAGAGTTACAGAGAGGAAACATTGTAGTATAAAAAGTAAAACTATACCTACTGGTGAGGTAGGTATGTAAAGGAAGAAGCAGTCAAGACTTGCGGTATCTTTCATGTTTTGTTTAGGGCATATAAAATGCATCCTGTACAGGGTCGCCACATTACGGCACGCAGGCCAAATCAGACCATCATCCGTTTTTGTAGTTCAAGTTTTATGGGAACAAAGCCACACACATTTGTTCATGGTTTGTCTATGACTACTTTGTCACTATAAGTGCATAGCTGAGTTGGCCTACAATATCTAAACTTTACAACAGGTCCTTTTAAGAGAAGTTTGCTGATTCTGGATTTGATAGGTGATAGGAATGGTTGAAATGGTTTCAGGAGTGGAATACAATCAGATTTGAGTTTTACACACCGTACTTACTGTGAAAAGTGTATTTGAAAGAGCCAGAAGAAGGGAGACAGGACACAGTAGGGGCAACTGAACTGGAGCCTGGAACATGCTAAATAAGCATTCTACCACTGAGCTTCAGCCCCATCTTTATTAAGTAATACTACAAAGGAAAAATTGCTTAGAATTTTCACTTTCCTTAGATATAAGGAATTATTTTTAAACTATCACTTCACTATCCTATTTTAGAGCTCCGAAAAATGGCATAACACAAACTGTAAGTTAATACAAAGAATGGAATTATATAAGCGATATTCAATTTTTAATTTGAAACACACAAGATCTATAAACATTAAGGCCAAGAGTCTATAGATTAGATATATGAAAAAAAAAACCTATAGGTTAGCCAATTTCTTAAGTCTGCTCACTTTACAGTGGTTATTTTTTTATAAAAAAGACAATGTATCACTAGGAGAAACACTCAAAAGATAGAAATCCTAAGAAGTGTAGAATCGCCATATTCTGAAAAATAGATTGGCAAATGACAAGGCAAATCATAACTAGCATAAGCAACCAGTATAAAGAAATTCTTTACAGGTACTGGAAAAGAAGGCTAGGAGAGGTCCACCATGTTCAAGTGGAAAGTGATGTGTTATTCAAGACTCTCAAATCCCGAGTCACAGAAAAATAGCATGAAAGGTCCTGATTTTTAAATAAATAATCCTTGTTCTAAGATATATAAAAAGAAAAGGACATTGTATTAATCACAGATAATTACGAAATAGCTTCAAAACAAGGTGATATGACTAGAAAAATCTTCATTAAAAACTAAAAAGAAATGGACAATATTCAATACACAGATAAACCCTGCACAGATGAGAGTTGTATCCTGTGTTGTCACCATTGGTTTGTAATCCCGTGAAAGGGGAGATGTGATTGGAATGGAAACTGTCAGGTGGTCCTTTTTAGGGCCTGGCATTCAAGGAAGAAGTCACCCTCAAACTGGAGTGATCAGACAAAACTTTCCAAAACATGCATCTTTTCAATAGCCCTTTATTACTTGGGAGGCACATTTCTCAAAAAAACATGAACTCCAAGTTAAAATTATTCCATAATTCTGAAAAAGAACAGTATGAGGAAAGTCACAGAAAGAGGAAAATGCAGAAACCCTACTTGGCTGGACAATCAGATTACACAGGAAGGCAGGAAATGGGAAACAATACTGCAGGTTCAAGGCAGAGGCCAGGCCTGCAGTCGCCAGTGACAAGTGCTGGGGAGTTTATGTTTCTTGCAGTAGACAAGTGGAAGACATTTGAAGGCCTTAAACAAACAGTGTCAAATGAATGATGCAAAAGTAAACATGAATGCAAACCCTAATATGTAACAGAATTTACATTGGGAAACAAATGACAAATCTCTTTTAAAAAGTTGCATACAAACTCATTTTAAATTAGGAAAGTGGGCTGGAAAAGATTAAGTCTTTTCACATTATCATTTCTATAAGCATTTTTTTTTTTTTTTGCTTTATATTCCTAAGTGAAATGGCCTGCAGGTCAGACAAGGCAGGCACAGTTACTACCTCTGAGGACCTAGAATAACAAAACTGTGGTAGAAAGTCTTGACATTCCTATTGATTTGGGAAGCAATGAGAAGTTTTGGCAAAATTACATTGGACAATATTGGTCCGCTTAGGCCAATTTAGATGTGCACTCTTGCCTTTAAGAAATGTCAATACCCTCCAGGAAACCCTCTCTGTTGCAGAAGTCTTACTGTTAATAAGTTTCTAGAGCATTTCCAACAATATAAACTTGGGGCCACAGAATGGGTAGCTGTCAGGTCTCAACAGGAGCTTGACAGGAGCTTGGTTATGAGATTAAGGAACATGGATGAACTGATCAGATATTATTTCTATTCTATTTTGATATTTAGATTAGAACAGGAAAGAAAAACAGTATAGGATTTACCCAAAAGCAAGCTAACAAGTACAGAAGTCACCTTTTTAAATGCTAGGATAGAAGGATATGGATTCTCTACCTGGGTACCCTGTGAGCTACAGACTGTAGGAAAACACACCTACACGCAAAAACTAACTGGAAGCCAGGAGCAGTATTTACATGTAATCTCTCACTATCCCTTCTGCTCAGTATTATGATCATCCCAATATATTTAGGTGGTATGTACTATTCTACATATTTTATATATATTAACTCAACTGAGTAATCAGAATAATGTTGTTACATCAGTTCTATTATTATACCACTTCCATGTACTCTTTTCACAAACATTTAAAATTCAATTGACTTTCTTAAGGTCACCCAGGTATTTAGCATTTGAGCGGGAGTATAAACCAAGCAGTTGAATTCAGGAAGCTACACTCTTAACCACTGCATGACATGCCTGTTTCTGCTTCATGTTGAATGACTTAAATCAATTTAACAGCTAAAACTTGGAAACAGCCCATTTGCCCATCAGTTGGAAACTGGATAAAGAAGATGTGGTTTTTCTATAAAATGGAATACTACTCAGCCATAAATAATGAGAAATTAGATTCATTCATAGGAAAATGTGAGGATATACTCCTAAGTGAAATAAATAAGTCACACATGTGTAAATGCCAAATAGTTTCTCTGGTGTGAAAATCTGTAATAGTACATAAGATCCTAATGAGATAATTGACAATGTGAAATAGGAAGAAAAGGGCTAAAGGCGTAGGGAAAGTGGGAAGGGTAGGGGAAAGCTAATAAGGGAAAAGAAAAAAATATGAGAAAATGAAAAAATGGAAATAAAGTGTTTGTAAATGGGGAGGGGAGAAGGGGGTGAAGGGAGGGCAGGGTCAAGGGGGAAAAATGAGAACCAAGACCTGTCATGTAAAGGTACAGTATCCCAATAATGACTGTAACTGTACTGTATACCTAAAATGTACCAATAAACTAAATTTAAAAAATAAAATATATTGGGTGGAGAAGCAGTTGTATCTTCTAATATATAGATGCATGATAAATCTGAAATAGATAAGGCAAAACTACTACTTTTCAAAATCACAAAGTTTGTTTCCCGATGGAGAATTTCATAACCTGATCAAATTCAGCATCCACTAAAATCACGAATGCACATCAGGATGCCTTTTTACTTAAATAAATATGTTTCAGCCTTGGAAAAACATTTTTAAAGTATACAATGTAGGTTTTATATAGAACAAAGGATTTTCAAAAATCTTTAATGATAATTTATGAAATTAAATATAAATAGATCGAAACAGAGTTTCCAGTAAACTATATCAACCACTTTCTTTTTAAGAAAGCAAACACTGTGTAAACAAATCAAGGTAAGATACTAAGGAGACAACTATGGTTCAGGAACAAAGGAAAACAAAAATAGGATGTTACTATTCAGCTCTGTACTTAGATTTACAAGAGCTATCAATCTTTCTTTTCATGAACACTAAACTGAGAAAGAAAGAAAAAAAACAAAATACAAATCCGTCTTCATAACCAAGAGCTAGAACTTAAAAATCCTGAAAGGTGAACTGACAATGTGAATCTCTGTAGCTCTCTGAAGGATACAAGCATTTTATCCTCAGCCTTAGTCTTTGCTTTTAATCATTTCGTTCTGCAGACTTGCTGACAAGTGCTGATGGAGTGGTTTTGTCCAGGTGCAGGCCTTCCAGAGGCAAAGGTGACAACTGTACTATAATCTGTAAATCTTTCCAAATAATTCATTCTTTCCATGAAGCTGATATTCAAAACAGTAACACTACTGCAGAATCCTGAAAGGAGAAAAGAAACCCAGAACTCTGTTTCCTCATAGTTCTTTTCCTCTGTCATTTCTAAGAGGGCTATTTTTGAATAAAAGATGCTGTGTGTCAGCAATTATATCTTTTATCCAGTAGTCCTCCCTTTTCCAAGGGGGAGGTACACTCCCACACTCTCACTGAATGTCTAAAATTGTAGATAACGGTGTGTGTACATCTATTTGAGGGTGTATATGTATATTTGTGAGTATATATGGTTCTTTCCCATAAATACAAAGCTATAGTAAAATTTAAATCATAAATCAGGGACCGTAAGAAATTAACATTAACAATAATAAAACAGAACAATTATAAAAACATACTATCCTACGAACTTACTCATTGTTTATTTCTATAATTTTCCATTTAATATTTTCAGCTCTCAGATGACTGAAAGTAATTAAAACCCAAGGAAAGCCATTAATATGATCAAAAATAAAACATTAACATGTGACTTGCTCTCTTACCCTGCTAATAATTGATTTAAAGAAATGGTCACTCTTTCAACTAACATTTGCTCTGTCAACACTGTTTTGGACACCAAACATTTGATAATCCTGGATGAGCCAGAAAAAGACAGTACCTGATGGAGCTACAGAAAGAAACTGAGCAATGGAATTACAGAAGAAGAAGAAACAAAGAAATGAAGAAGGAATTATCTTCCTGTGAGAATCGCCATGAAGAAAATATGCAGTGTTCTATGCGAGAAAAGAGCTGGCAGTGGTAGGATACTTCAGGAGGGTGACAGAGAGGCCTGCGGGCTATGTGGTAATTATGTGATCCCTAGTGAGTTAAGAATACACCCGCGAAGAGTGCCCTCTTCAGAAAACAAACAGAAACTACAAAGTTGCAGATGGCATTTCTAGGAAGACGAGGAAGCCCCATATGGTTAGGCATGGGCAGGTACAGAGAAAAGCCAGGAGATCAAGCGGGTAGCAGGAGAAGATTTGCCCAGGTCATCACCAGAGGCAGGAATGAGAAGCTGCTGCATGAACTTGGACAATTTAGATTCCAGGGTCCATTTACATTACAGATCAGTAGGCCTGTTTTATGAACATTTAGAGCAAAGCTAAGGCAGCTCCAAGATCCAAGGATGTGGACTACATCACAGGAAGGACGCGATGGTAAATGGGGCTAGGATGGTGTCGGCAGAGGTACTCTGAGTTGGAACTACAGAACTTGTGATGAATTAGAAGAAAAGAGTAGAAGCAAATAACTTGATAAAAGATTATTTTCAAATGAAATCATTTCTAACGTGCTGCACAGTTGCAACTCAGCAACTCACTTTGACATTACTTTCAGAAAGATGTTCCAAATGGGAAAACAGCCCTAAGTAATCCATATATGTAGTGAGCCCTCTCTATTTGTGGTACCAAATCCACGTATTTAACCAACCATGGATATCAAATAGTGGAAGAAAAAAATCTGTATCTGTACTATGTACAGACATTTTTATAGTCAATATTTCCTTAACAACATAGTATAAAAACCACGCACCATTTCCATTGCATTTGGTAGTGTGTCAGGTAACTATATTATACATAAAAATGCTTTAAAGTATATGGGAAGAGGTGTCTAAGTATTATACCATTTTAAACTTTTATAAGTAGATCTCAGTGTGCACAAGGGTCCTTAGAATCAATACTCCATAGATACCAAAGGACGACCATATAGATATATCAGTTTCTGTTTTAAGTTAAGAAGTTCTGACCAAAAACGTTATTGACTTATGAAAGATAAAAGGAAATATTTAATTATAAATGTTCCATCAACTCAGAGTTCAGTTTAAAAAATCTAGCTTTAAGAAAATATTAAAGCTGTTAAATTTATAAAAATATTTTAGCTTAAATGATGATTATCATATATATTGCAAAGCTTAAGGAAAAAAATTTGTATTTCAAATTCCCTGCTTGATCTTTGTGTAAATGAAGTAGTTTGAAGAATTAATCTATAAGATACCCCATTACCTAGAAAAAAACGTAATAGAAACTTGCAAATTTATTGATGAGTACAGTGACATATTATTTTAATAACTGTTATAGTCAATTCACAGGTTATCCAGATACTTTTAACCTCCCTTGACCAGTTAAATTTTAATTAGCTAAGGAATAAATATTGATAGGAAAAATAGAAGAGTTTTTATATCTCCATAAAATTTTTCAATTATTAGCTGAGTAAAGGCAAATAATAAAAATCTATTGCTCAAAGAACCAAAAACATCTAAATTCAAGGACAAAAATGCTCTCCCATCCTACTGTTTCTTGGCTGTCACTCACAATGTGATCAAGGCCAGAAAGTCATGGTAATAATTATAACACAAGTCAGGTATAAAATTTTGCTTCATGATAAGCTCCTTCATTTTTCATGTGGAAACTGGCACATCAACTTTCCTGCAGAATTTTTATGAGGATTATAAATGAATGCACACAAAGTACCTAAAGCAGTACTCTATACATAGTACATACTCACTAAAGGACAGGCATTGTTTTAGGAAAATTTCGTAAAATACAGTTAGTCCTAATACAATGTAACAGAAAATCTGAAATCCAAAATGTTGCAAAGTCTGAAACTTTTTGATCCCTAACAAGACACAAATTTTAAACTTTTTGAGTGCCTTATTACCTCTCAAAAGGTTTCAGACTTTGCAACATTTTGGATTTTGGATTTTTGGATTAGGGATGCTTAAGCATTAAACTGTGTATAAATTTCAAAATCTTAAAAAAAATCTGAGATCCGAGACACCTCTGGTCCCGGGCATTTCCAATAAAAGATAAATAATGTGAAAAGACTTTATACTGAAATAATCACTTTTTCTGGGGGGTACAGGGGTCCAAACTCGGGACCTTGTGCTTGCAAAGCAGGTGGTACAACCACTGAGCTAAATCCCTGGCCCCTGAAATAATCACTTTAATTTCACAAGTATGAGGATTAATATTCTAAAGTGAGGTCTCATTCTATTGTTCCCTCTGATGAGTAATTCTGCTGACTTATATCACCTTAGGAATCAATATTAGGTTGCCAAACCAATATATGTCCACTGTCAATTGGCTTGTATAAGGTAATCTCTCTTGCATATTTTTGTTCCAGTGAGACTAGGCTCATCATATTTGCCTGCCAATATCTCTCAATGTAGTTCAAATGCAAATAGTACAAGCAGAAGGCTACATTATATTCGTTTTTACATCCCCAATGCCAAGACCAAACCCAACACAAAGAGTAGCATGATAAAGGGATAAATGATCAATATGCTTCTGCTCAGACAATTACTTATAGCTAGAATATGCTGTTCAATCAGAGATGACCATAATTTTTTTGAAACCAGGATCAGGTTTCCTTTTACACACACACACACACACACACACACACACACACACACACACACACACACACACACACACACAGTTCTAACTGGAACAAATTTAGTAATATAACAATATTGACTGAATATATACCAGGTTGAGCATTCCTATTCTGAAATTTCAAGCTATAAGACATTTTTGAGCACCAACATAATGTCCCAAGTAGAAAACTGCACATCATAAAACTGATCCACATTTAAAATTATTAAAAATATTGTATACTATTACCTTCAGGCTGTCTTTAAGGAATATATAAAATATTAATGATTTCTTATGATGACACTTGGGTCGCATTTCCAAGATCTCCAGTTGTGCACACATGAATATTCCTAAATGCAAAAACATCTGGAACCCAAAATCCAAAACACCTCTGTCCCATGTGCTTCAGACAAGGGGGCTCAACCTATGATAAAATCTTGACAGTTCTTCCTATTCGGGCTCATCTGTATTGTCTAACTGGTTAGGAAGGGACTGAGTTCTAAATTTCTTATTTGTCTGTCTGTTTAGTTGTTTTGGAATAATACGTGAAAGCAGAAACAGATTTGTTTGGCTCACAAATGTAGACATCAGTGAATTCTGTCCAGAATTCACTCAGCATTCTAACCCAGCACTAAGTCCTTGCTGAAGTACCAAAAACAGTACCTGCACCTAGAAGCATTTAATTTATAGATGCTCAACTAACATCTCTACTATTAGACCACATCTAATATCTTAAAGGGAAAAAAAATCAAAATTTAAATCTTTTGTTTTGATAATGAAATAAAGTTTTATCTGGAAAAAATATCTAAGAGGAGCAGAAAAGTTACCTTCAAGTAGTTTTTTCTCTGAAGATACTTTAGAAGCAGAAGCAGGAGCTTGATACAAGAAGTCACACAGGAATGTGGCCTGGGCAGGCTCTGGACTTAGCCCAGTGTCAGAATGAATATCATGTTGAGGGAAATCTAGAAAAATTAATGAAATAATACATTATATAAATAATTACTCCTTGATGAGTACGTAGGTGAGTTTTAAATGAAAGGAAAATGGCTTCCAATTTACCACTGAATATAGAAGTTTATTTTATTTTGCATAAAATTTGCAAAGAAGAACTGAAGTCATACTTATTATTCATGTATGAAAATTAGATTTAATTTTGGTGGAAATGATTATGTGGGATTAACTATTTCAGTCTTTCATTCATAAGATTAAGGAAATATTGGGCTGGGGATTTAGTTCAGTGGTTCCACCACTTGTCTCACAAATGCAAGGTCCTGAGTTTGATCCCCAGCACAAAAAAAGAAAAAAAATTAAGGAAATATAAAAGATGCCTTTCCTGAACTTTTTCTTGAAATGACATATAAAAATATTTTAGCAATTATATTTTTCTTCATTCTGATGATTTTAGTTGAACAATAAACAGATTTGTGCTTCAGTCCTTTTATGGCCAGAGGAGAAGAGAGCAGGATAACTGCAGTGCAATGGACAAACCTGAGAACTTGTTATGGTACAGAAATTCCATCTGCAGACTCTGTCCAGCTTTCTTGGCCAACAGATAGGGGGTGCTGTGCACAGGGTCTCCAGTGGCACACATGACATCTGCACCACTGAAGAGCAAAGCCATCGTTTCCAGCACATCTGATTTCACTACAGCAGCACACAGAGCCTAGATGTTAACAAAAACACACCTTTAAAGGGGAGTGCATGGTTCTAGCTAGGAAAAGGATGGAAGTTTGACAATTCACTTGTGAGATGGAATTTGTTTTCCTTTTTTTCCTATGAAGGCTTTTAATAACCATGTTCTGAGGTAGGCAGTAGGCACAAAAGGTCTACTTAGTATGATATTCAATTACAACTCAAACCTCCAACCCTCCATTCACTGTTTTACTGTGATGTCCTCCTTTCAAATTTTCCAATCCATCCTAACTGCTTTCAAAGGTACTTTGTATGTTTGATAATGGCTGATACTAACAAAAATTTTAAAACACCATAGTAAATGTAATAGTGAAGTATCCACAGAATGTTTTGCATGTGAATGATGTTAATAATATTTTTGCAACTTCATCAGAAGCTGTAGAATTTTAAGCTTTCATTGTGCTTGAGGAATGTGAAAGGTAAGTCTAAAGACCTTTGCTTTGGGGACAAGGAACCAGAGGAGGAACAGTAAGCAAGAGGCAATGAAGCAACATTATTGACTTACATTATACAACATCCTTGTACAAACATCCAAAAAGAGACTTGAAAAGTCTTCTTTCTTAGAAGGAATAATCTACCTCTACACCTGTCCGTGCTATTCTGGCATCCTCAGACTGCAGTTTGTTGCCTTCCCATTTGCTTCCACACATGAAGCACCCTGACTCCACATCCCAACTCCACCTGAATGTTCAGCTTCCGACTCATTGCACTGCCTCCTTCTAGACAAACTACACACAGACAGATGGGTGGTGACTCTGCCCTCTGTGACACAACCTAAGACATTGGCAGGAGCTGTTCCCAAGGGGAACGCAGAGAATACATCCAAGAAGACCCAGGATTCACTCACGGTCCCTGCCCTAAGGGTCAAATGGTAAGAAAGAACTTAACTTTTCAAACCGGGCCAGGCTGACCTCTGGAATTCCCTTTACCTCACAATTAAGAAACCTGAATTCTTACAACTGATTTTAAAATAATTTGCCAGGAGTCTTATGCAAATTCTCTCTCTCTCTCTCTGGGTCTTAAAATTTTCACGTGCAAAGTATAGGTGTTGAGGAAAAAAATTTCTGTATATTCCATTCTGATTGTCTCTAGCACCTCCTCAGTTTAACCACATTTCTGCTCATTTCCTTTCTTGTCACTCTGTTGTTTTCCTTCATGACACACTATCCTGGCTATTGTGTATTTAGTGAAATCTAGGTGTTTACCCTCAGTCTACATTATATATATTTTTCCCCAAAAAAATATGGACAAAGGTCTTTTTTTCCAAAATACTCAACACAATGCTACTTACCTAAGAATCTTTTCCCAATAAGCATAGCCATTAAAAAGCATAAAGGAACTGAAAACAATTAAATATTATCATCTGAACATTAAAAGAAATGGGTATATAGAGGAATTAAATAACTAACTAAAAGCATCCTAGTGAAAAAACAGCTATTTAGAAAAAGAGGTGGGAATATTTAACAAAGATATTTGCCAAAAGACCAAGTGGGCAGCATAAAATATTTATAAAAAGAAAAACAAGACTTCAAGTCCACTGTATTTAACACACTATAGTTTACAATACACTGAATAAATTGTCAATGTTGGTGACACTGTTCATAATATAAAAAGTTACATTTTTGTAAAAAAGAGGAAGGGTTCAAAGTTTTAAGAATACTGAGGATAGGTTTGATTTCGTTGAACACTATAGTTACAGAGGAAAAATTTATTTACCTATGGTAATAACTACTCATGTAAAATAAGGAGAAAACCATTGGTACAGTCTCACAAAAGGACATACAATAATTAAACAATAATTTTTTCAAATAGTATAGGACCTTTTATTTCTTATCAAGAATCTTGGCACATACTTAAAAAGGCATTAAAGTCCATATCAACTGTTATGTTTTATTGAATACCTTATTTAATTCTTCTTTGGTCAGAGAGGCCAAAAGAGTTTTTCTGAATTTTCCTTCTCTATATTTCTGAGTAATAAAGTTTTTTCTCTTTTCTACTGGTGAGTCCATACGTAATTCTTCGTCCTTTTGAAGGTTACCAGCCCAAAAATCATTTGCTCTTTTGTTTCCAATGACAATAAAAAGCTGAAATATTTCAAAAAATTATAAAACACATCAGTTCATGAAATGTATTGGAATCTTCAGAAAGCTAGCTTTCATTATAAATTAAAGCATAACTCAGTTTAAAATGCTAAAGAATATATGAAAGACAATTCTTTCAAGAAGATGAAGTGTGAAAGCAGGTGTATCTGTTTTTTTTTCTTTTGAGACAGGATCTCACTATGTAGATGAGACTGACCTAGAACTCACTATGGAACCCAGGCTGGTCTTGAACTCACAGCGATCCTCCTGCCTCAGCCTCTGAGTGCTGGGATTACAGGCGTGTGCCACTAATGTATAGCCTATCTGCTCTACATAATAGCAAAACATTAACTTGGAAAGGAATGCAAGCCAACAAACTGCAGGTAGTCTTATTCTAGGAAGCTCATATTAAGATACATTTAATCAAAACATAGCAGATGGACTAATGCTGATGAGAGTTGAAGGGGAGAGGAAAATGGAGATGAGGGACAGCACCTTCAACTCAACAGCAGTTAAGAGTTCAGCCAAGATGTGGAATAGTAAATTCTGCCACATATCTAATGTGGCACCATGCTCAGTTAAAAAAGAAAGTTCTTAATTTTGTAAGAGCTATCGAGCCTTTACACAGTTACTCTGCTAAAGCTCCTTGTAGTTTTTATTTAAACAAGTACCTTATTTAAAGGTATCTGAGTTGCTTTATCAAACAGGTTATAGACATTTTCTTAATGTGTTGATGGCTTCACAAAAGACCATGTAAAGAAATGCTGCCATCCCACTGCACACCTCTACCTGGGTCTCATCACCACCAGGGAAACAGGACTCACCTCTATAAGTTCATTACTCCAAATGCTGGCATCCATTTTCAGACTTCTAACCTTGGAATCTTTTGGTCCCAAAGATCGATGTTGTCCTAAAGTAAATAATAAGTAAAATTCTTAATTGTTTAATGAATTTATATTACTTCCTTTAAAAGAATGTGCATAGGTTTATATACATGTAAGAATGTGAATAATATAACCTTAAAACATAATAATACTCTGCTGTTGATAGCACTAAGCAGTTTATAAAAAAAAACCACACAAAGCGGGTAACATCAGTCATCTTTATTACTGTCCTGCCTTAGAATTAAACTTATTCTTTCGGTTTTCATTAGTACACGTTTAGTACTTCGTGCTCTCATTCCTCACGGGGAGTTGGTACACGCACACAACACATTTCAATTCTCATCCCCTTTCCTTCCATCTCTTGATTGCCTTCCCATTGTAAAAGATCTATTTCTCTACGTCCTATTATCTATTATTTTGTTCTTTATTTCTATTTTGCGTTTCTCAATTAAGAGAAACTGTCCAATATTTAAGCTTGTGTGTCTGGTTTATTTCATTTACCATTATGGTCTCAAAAAAAATTCCAACACTACGGTCTCAAAGTGCATCCATTTCTCTGCAAATGCCTCACATTTGTTTTCCATATGGAAGAGTTCTCCATTTCTTTATCCATACATCTACTGCTTCCAAGAATTATATATGAAAGTAAAAAAGGGCAAAGAATGACATACAGAGGGGAATGGAAAGTTTTCAGAAAGCCTGATAGTGTTAACATGACAGACTCATGTAAGTTGCACAATTAAATAAAAAAATTATGGTTGAACAATCATTTGAGAGTAAATAAGAGTAAGTGAGAAGGTGCGGATCCTAAGGAAAGAGAACAGACAGGAAGCACAGCGGAAAGGCCCAGGACCGCACACAGCTATCTCCTGGAAGGAGGTTGGAGAGGAGAAAAAAATGGGAAAAAAATCTAATGGAGAGGGTGATTGGCTGATGTTTTTCATTGTTGCCACGAGTGTTACTTAGCTGGTGAGAAAAGCTCTCCTGGTATGAATGTAATTGATTAGGGCTGTACAAAGGTATGAAGGGTTCTAGGCAACTCTTGTAGCTGCACTACTCGTGACATGGCTGCAGCTAATGTAAGAGCTCTTCTCCTACAATCTGTCACCTGGTACTAAACTCTAGTCCTGTACTGATCACAATGCACTATAATTACTATGAATACATTTTTGGAAGAAATTTCATGTCTTACAGATTTGTTTACTTGCCCAGACTAATACATATATATTCTAGGTGAAGTCTGTGTGTGTGTTATGTGTATGTGTGTATGCACTTATGTCTGTCCATCTGTCTGTTTGCAACAGGGAGACAGAGGAGTCCTTCTGATACAGAGGAGACAGAACGGAAAACTGTAGTAAAGTTTAGTGTGTGGTTAACTTTCTCCAAGACCTCTATAAACATTCCTGTTATGAGATCCATTTCCCTCTACTCCCTGAGATAACTGTCTGAGCTCTCAAATTCACTAAGAAGCCAGGCAGTTAGGTGTTAATATATCAATCAGGAAACTAGTCAGGTTTAAGTTACTTTTATGAATATTAATACTGTTTAAAAACGTATCTACATATTCTTACTAAAGAGATGCCAGATCCATACAGGAAGTTTACAGCTCAGAACAACACTGATGTGAAAATACATCCTAAGAGAACAGTGCAAAATGGACAATCCTTCATGAAAAGTTGCAAGCTTGTGCTAGTGGCATTTCAAAGTCTAAAAATTTTAACACTGTTTTTAAAAATCTATACATGAACCAACAAGCGCAAAATATGGTTACATGCCTGAAAATCAATTTTACATCTGAGTCATGCATAAGAGGAGTGTAGAATTATACAACATTTCTAAATTGGATTTAAATGTAATAAGCTGTCTCTGGTTCTATTTTCCACATATTATACACGATGACAATGAGCAGTCAGTGCCAGCGTGCCACAGAGCGGCAATGAGCATAACTTAGCACTAATTACCTGCACACTTCTTACAGATGACAACACAGAGATTGATGGATGCCCAGTCAGGATCTGGGGCTTTACAATCTGCACAGCTCCTGTTGGACTCATTGAACCAGATCTTCTCAGCTACTTCGTAATCAGAGAGAGTTTCTGCTATTGATTGCTGCACAGCTTCAATCCAGTCTTGCTTCTCTTTCTCAGACTCGGCTGTAAAGCTGAAACAATTAACGTTTCTGCATTATCGATCTCCCTTGTAAAGGCCAATTAAGCAGTATGTTCAGTTTGCATATTCATTTCACTCACAAATTAAAAACTACTGAAAATTATGCTCACCAGGCAGCTCTGGATTATCCTTTCTGTTAAAAATCATCTGATTTAACAAATCGATTTTCTCTCTTTAAACTTTCCACATTGTTTATGATTTTGTTTACATATCTTGAACCAAAATTGCCACAAACATTTTTCTTATCGAGATATTAAAAAACTTGTTACATCAAAAGCTTAAAAAAGGGGGCCAGGGATTTGGCTCAGCGGTACGGTGGCCTGCCTTGCAAGTGCAAGGACCCGCGTTCGATGATCCCCGGTACCAAAAAGCTTAAATAAGAAGCCATGTTTCCTAAATAGCAGTTATATAATCATTGATAAGGAACTGGCAGAGTTTCAAGATCCCCGGAATATTTTGAGAGATAAGTATGCCTAGTCCCAGACTAACCTACCAAAGACACCACTGATTTTTTTTTTTTCAAACTTAAAAATAATTAAAAAAAAAACTTAGGAGACAGTCCAGATGGCTCTGGGAAGTCAGAGAAGCTTTAAAGCTTTAAGTAGATACTATTCTAACACATTTGTAACTCATTTTTAGCCATGTCCTTGTTATTCTGCTTCTTAGTATTTCCTGAGCACTTGACTGAAGGGATAAAACATGAAACAGCAGTTCACTCCTTCAGGAAAGATGTACTGAGTGCCCACAGTGTGCCAGTGAGGGTGCTACACACTATGTCAATGAATAACAGAATAATCCATCACATTACGATTTTTGTGCTCTGAAGGTTCAGATGACTTGAAATATAATGAAAATAATCGCTGGTTAACACTTCTAAATAATCTATGAAAGTACACAGTTTACATATATTTTCTAAAGCACTTCATAATTTCATCATTATAATACTAATAAAATTCTGAGTTGTTTCAAGTTATACAGGAGATTATTGTTCAAAGCCAGTATCTTTATTTTCATTTGAGTCTAAGTTCCAGTCTTTTTACTTTTATTTACTTTTTGTGTGTGTCTGAGTTTTTTTTTTTCCTTTTCTTTTGTTTGTTTTGTTTTGGAAGTCTGTTTTCAAACCTAGGGCCTCAGGCATGCCAAGAAATCACTCTACCCCTGAGCTACATCCCCAGACCCAGAATATGCAAGTGTTAAAATGAACACTTGCTTTTTTTTAACTTCATTGAGTTTATTGGTACATTTTAGGTATACAGTGCAGTTACATTCATTATTGGGATCTTGTACCTTTACATGACAGGTCTTGGTTCTCATTTTTTCCCCATACCCCTGCCCTCCCTTCACCCGCTCTTCCCCTCCTCATTTACAAATAGTATCTTGATTATTTGTGATAAATGAATTAAAGTAGCTGTGTTCAATAGTGATTTTTGTGTATACTGTATACTATGTCTATGAGTTCATTATAAATTATTAAAACATTATATACTTTAAAAATTTTGTCAGTAATGGAATTACTAAAGAGTACAATATACACGGTAAAGTGCAAAAATATTTAGATCAATAATTGTATGGGATGCATTAAATTCTGTATTCCCTGGAACCGAGGCTCTGAAGGAAAGCATGCGGAACAGTGACAAGTAGGGACGCAATGCAAGAGGGATGGTATCTGATTAGGCTAAAAGAAGTAAATAATGCAACTTAAAGACAATGTAAAATGTGCTATTAAATTATTCTAAATGTGAAGAAATATGTCACACATTTATTGATTAAAAAGTAAATATTCACCAAATCTACTAAGAAAAAAGACTTTAAGAAAAGAAACTGCTCAAAGATCATGAAGTAAGGATTTTTATAGGTTGCACAGTTATTTAGTCTACTTTTATAAGGTGTTTTTATGTGCTGGCTATTAAGTCAGAAGACATGGAAAGGATACATGTTCATTTTTAATGTCCTATAATGGATAAAATCACTACTAGTATTATAAAGATGGGTTGCTGAGCTTTCTTGCAGTAATATAAAAGTTTTAAAATAAGCTTACCTGAAACTCCTGTAGGGAGTGATTATTTCAAAAGACTGTTTCACAGTTCGATCCACTTGCTTTACATTTGCTACATTCATAGGAATTATGGTAATACCAAGTCCACTCTTAAAATCCTAGTTAGGAAAAAATATTTTTAAGAAATATGAACAAACAAAAAAACTCCTGGATTTCAAAAGTATAGTTATAGTTTTTTTCTAAAATCCAGTAACTCTTAAAATTTTACTGTATAAATGTATATGGAATGAAACAGATCCAAACAGAACATTGGCTGAAACTACTTTTTCTCATCTTAGGTAGCTACTTTCAATACTTTATAACACTGCACCATTCTAAGGCTGGCAGCTGCGCTATTATAAAATATGGAGTTTTTCATATGAAAGGTAAGTTGCTTAGGCCATAAATACTGACTCACACCTTGTTTTTGAAAGTAAACATTATATTGACCTTTATTTAACTCTGTAAAGGAAACTAACAACAACCCTAACCACGTGTCCAAATTCCTAGATTGCAGGGCCAAATAATATAAAATTAGCATAATTTATGTTTATATGAAAAGATGGGTAAACTGAGGCCTGAAGAGATTAAATTTACACGGCAGTGCAGCCAGTTGAACAATCTGTTCAAATTGTTCTTTCTTAGGTTCCTATAATAGGCTATCCCTGATGTGCCACCTTATTTTTCTCATCATTTACTTACAAAGACATTATTTATCAATGTAGTTTTATCTCATTTCCAATACGTTATTGCTTTTCTTTTTCTTAAGATTCTTAAAAAGCTCTTCTAATGCTACTTTGATATCAAAACTATTTGTTCAACATCTAGAATCACTATGTACAGCTTATCTCAAGAAAATTAGCAATTGTCCAAATGCTACAAAGAGATTGCATCCTAGAAGTACTAAAATTTGTGAAACATTATCTGCTTATACGGGTTTTAGAATACAAATTATCAAATAAATAATCTCAACAGTTTCCAAAATATAACATGTACCTGAAAAGGGAGTTATCTTTGTGAATAAAATATGTTGCGAATACCTAAACTAAGCTGAGAATAGCACAGCCATACTAAATGGAAAGTATAAAGAAACGAATTCATTTTCAATAACAACATTCGCCAAAGACTATTTTAGTAGGGCTAACAGAAAGAAGCAATTCACAGCATAAGCAAAAAGAGGAAGTATTTTCTCATCTCTCATACATCTACAAGTGGCCATTTTTTCCTAGCTTTGGTCAGTATAATACCAATCAGTGCCAGGTGGGTTGGAGACAGTCAGACATGTCTTAGATGTCCTTTGCATTTCTAGGGAAATTACATCAATACGCAGAGAAGCTACTTTAGAACTTTAGAATCCTGGATGTGAAAAGCCTGAGGACTAATTCTTGTTCCCTGAGGATTCTAGAGTGTGGAAAAAAAAATAGAAAGACCTGGCAGTGTAAACTCTTCACTGCCTACATCAAGAGGTTGCTCAAAACAATTCCCTATCTTTTTAAGCACTCCCTTAGGGTTTTGTTTAACTAATTAATTTTATTGGTACATTTAAGGTATACATTCAGCATTGGAAATTTGCACCTTTACATAATCCATCTTGGTTCTTATTTTTTCCCCATTCCCCTGCCCGCCCTTCAATTCCTCCACTGGGGAAAAGAAAGATAGGAACAGAATTAACATGAGAAAAAGAAAAAAAAAATGGAAACAAAGTCCCTTAAGGCTTTTGTGCTTAACACTAATACATTCTTAACTACTAAGTATAGGAAAATAATTTTATACTAAGTTTCCTTCCATTGGCAACTGTACTGCATTTCCACTCACAAATTTTAGAAAGGCCTTTCTTATTTATTATGTTTATTGCACAAGTATTTAGTTAGAATAAGAAAATGACATTTAAAAAAGAAATCACTGGTTGATTTTTTCTTTCCTGACAAAAGAACAAATGGCTCATTTTATCAGAGCATAAAAGGCACAAATTGAGAATCAGTAGTATAAAAACAAAAATGCAGAGAAATGTTGAGTGTTGCAAAATAATTAGGAAGTACTATATGTCCACCTCATAGCCCACTGCATGAAAAATAACACCCACTGTGATATGTATGGACAGATGAAACATTAAGCTTTTCTAATTGGCCACATCCTAATAAGTTTTAGCATATCATCACAGGGTTGCACTTACTTATTAAATTGTAAAAGCAAATTCTCTATTATCTATAGCAATACTCTTGCTGGATAATGAAACTATTGGACAAATTCCTAATGAATGTGATTGGGAATTCAAACTCTCTTTTACAAATGAGGGAACAAGGAAAGAAGAGCAAAATGAGACATACTTAAAAAAGAGATTTCTAATGGCTCCCCTCCCTAAAGAGAAACTCTATGATGAATTCATATACTTGGATTATATGTTCTTCAAACAATTCTCCATAATGAGGCTTTTGACAACCACTCCAGATTATATTCTGCAATAAAGGCCTGACCTGTGAGTACTATGCTTTACGAAGGGCAGAGGCATGTAATACTATGACCATCAGACTAGCAGATGGTATGAATGACAACTTTTTATGGAAACTGATGAGTGTTATCAAGGTTCCTGACTGAATAGATGGTCTTTGGTTTCTACAAGCAAGTCATGCAATGACTACATTCAAAGCTGCAATTTCTGTTAAGCTGGCTCAACACTCCAAAGTTCTCCCAGGCAAGGCAAAGTTGATTTGTTTAGCCTCAAAAACTGTAACCCATTTATCAGCTGCTTGCCATGGCCATATGGTTTCGAGTAATTAGAGTATCTGCATAGCTCACCAACACAAATTGACTGTAAAATATACATGAGTAACAAAATAAATGTGAGTGCTCTCTAGAGCTATTAAATATGAAACAACTATATTTTCTATTAAAAATATTTTTGGTGATACTAAGTCCTTTTTTCATACAGTATTTAGAACATATTTAGACTATTAATCATTCTTAGATGCTTACTAAAATTATCAGTGATTGTGATCTCACCCTCTCAATCTGAGATTTGACTTCAAGACTACTTGGTCAGTACCTAAAAGTCTTTACTTAACAAAAACAAAACTACACTATACTGAGAAATACTGAATTAGATAATAGAAGCTGTTATAGAATTTAGACAGGATGAGTTAGGAATATTTAACTACCGGGATGTAAACATTTCTTTGCCTCCTGTACAATATTTTTAAAATGCAATCAGAAACACACACACACACACACACACACACACACACACACACACACACACAAACAAAACAAAAACAAAAAAAAGAAACACTTGCAATCATTAAGATCACAGACCAAAAATAAGCAGGCCAGAACACAATGAAATACTCAACTGTCAAGATGCCAAATGATCAACTGCTAAATTCTGTACTTGTGTTCAAAGACTAAAAGCATCTTCATTGTATTGTTTTAATATCTACTTGTATAGTGCTTTGAAGTTTAAGGACTGCTATAAACTTGCATTTGATTTTCTAAATACTTTTGTGAAGACACTGCTACCTGTAAATGGGAAAATTAATCCTAGCAAAGCCGTGTTTATCAAGTACCTGGAGTGTGCCAGTAATTATACTAATTTTTGTATCGGAACAGAAGTATAAAACAAGGTACTTACCTTGGGGAAGCTTATAGTTTAAGGAGAAAATGAAAGTAGTAATACATGCAGTGAAAGAAAAAGAATCCCTAATTTTAAGGAAAGCACTGGAATTTAACTCAAAAGTAAGAGTTGAGTTCATAAAAAGGCTTTTCAAAGGAGGTAACACTGACTGGTCGAAGAACAAAACCCAGACCAGCTTATTGTTGAGGTATCTCTCTCCTCATTCAGTTCATTTGTTGACAAAGAGGCAGTACCCGCAGCCTCACTTTGGTGAGGATTCATTTAATGCAGTAAAAATGCCTAGGTGAATGCCTGGCACATACTGAGCGCGACACAGGTCTAGTTAACTGTTGTTATTATTATTTTCTATGTCTTGAATTTGAAACCAATTGAATGTCTTATCTATTAAAAAGTTAATTACAAGAAAATACATGTTCAAAAATAACTAGCTGACAGAAATATATTTTAGAAATGGAACAAAATGTGAATGTTAAATGTTCAGGAAAATTAAAAATAAATTACCCATTAACTACAATCTGATTGTGAGTTCTATTTTCATCCTGAAAAAATAAGCATGAGCCAAGGATGAACCAATCCTTCAACCTTTAAAATGCTATAAACTGGATTGAAAAATATAACAAAAAAATTCAGTAGGTAGAACTCTTCTATAAAGTAACAGCCAAAAAAAACATTGCAGAGTAAGCAATATTTTGCATTTAGTTTTCTGCAACAGGATATAGGATCTCAAGAAGTATGAATCACACAACTAGCAGTGAGAAACCCCACCGGCACCCCAGTGTCACAGCAGAGCAGGATATCGTGGCCGGGGTAATGACCAATGCAGCCCCGACAGTCAGGTCCAGGGAAGAATCTTAGTGGAACCATTTATTGGCTATAATACCATCAGCAAGTTATTTAGCTTATCTAGATCCCAACTTTCTCATTTAAAAAAAATGCAATATCTATCTTATACAGCACTGCTATAAAAATAAACTGAAGAAAGATGAATTAAAGTTTCATACATCCTGATCATCTTTTCATGTGAAAGTTCTAAACAGAATTTATCATCAACAAAAAAATTTCATTTTTTTAAATGACAAAGTATTCACACCAGTGATTCCTTATTATTCAGATAGGAATAACATTAAATATTTACGAAGATATTGAATTTATACAAATTTGTAGCAATGCAATATGGCTAAAACTCCAGTGAAAGCAAAATGATAGTTTAATTCCCCAAAAGAAAAATTCAGCAAGAGTTTATTAACCCCAAATCTGCTGAAATCTCAAACCTATTTTTAGAAATACTGGATGCTAGATTTCCCTGCCAGGAATTTAAGAACTCAGTGCTTAAACATTTGTTGAAAACAGATGTGGCATTGTATGACACTGGCACCAGGCTTCCTAGGAAACACCAGATGCAGAGTTTGGCCAGATACAGAACCCAGAGAACGTGGGGCCACCACCTACATCCTGTAGCTTCTTTCTGTGCCACACAACCCAGAGCCCTTT